TGGTTTCCAGTACATCTGTTTCCAGGTGGCCAGGCTTGGCTATTAATATGCGGGAGCAGACTAATTTGCACAAAAACCAATTTGTCAGATGAGCAACTTGCCCAATTACTGTAGATCATATGAAGTGTTAGCATTGCCCTCACGTGCCCCACGTCCATCTCCAGCCCCAGAAGCTGTCAGAAAACAGCTTCTCTCTGGACATGAGACAGTTTGCAGAACCACAGTAAAAGGCAGGAGCAAAAGCAGAAGCAAGTCTCTCGGCTGTAAAACGGGGATACTGCTATCTAGCTCAGGGGTTTGTGAGGATTAACTCAGTTAATACAAATAAAGCACTTAGAACAGTCTGGCAGGCAATATTCAGCACCCAATAAATGTTAGGGATTATTACCACTAAAGCAATTAAGATTTTTCATTTCATGCATGCATTTGTTTTTAATTTTTACTTTTTTAAAAATGTCAGCTCTCAGGTTTTATTTTTTTAAATATGTCTTTACTGATTTCAGAGAGAGGAAGGGAGAAAGAGAGAGATATAGAAACTTCGATGATGAGAGAGTCATTGATCTGCTGCCTCCTACATGCCCCCTGCTGGGGATTGAGCCCTAACCAGAGCATGTGCCTTGACAGGAATTGACCTGAGATCTCCTTGATCATAGGTTGATGTTCAACCACTGAGCCACACCGGCCAGGCTCACGCATGCATTTAAATTATATGAATTAAACTATACACTAGGTGAAAAATAAAAAATAACAATTTAAATGGGAATGCCAGGAAAAGGAGATAGATAGCATTCACTAGGACCAATTCAGTGGTCCATACCCTTGGCCTTGTCATTTACTGAGGAGTGGAGAGGGGCTGAAGATCGAGTTCAATAACCAATGGCCAGTGATATAAGCCATCATACCTACATAATGAAGCCTCTATAAAAACCCAAAAGGATGGGATTCAGAGAGCTGTGAGGTTAGTGAATACATGGAGATGTGGGAGAGCGTAGGAGCCCCACATCCCTTTCCCCATATCTTGCCCTATACATCTCTTCCATCTGGCTTTCCTGAGTTATATCCTCTTATAATAAAAAGTAATTTAGTGAGTAAAGGGGTTGCCTGAGTTCTGTGAGCCACTCCAGCAGCCCTCAAATTCCATGGATTTGTTCATGACTAAGTCACTGTTATATCGAGATTTCTGGGTAACATTGTCAGGCTCAGTTTTCCCCATTTGCAAAATGGGTATACAATATAGATCCACTTTCTACCTCTTAGGCCTCTCTTATCCTAAATGAGTGAATACATGATAAGTAAGCAATTAGGATGGACAGGGGTTTAGTTGTGTTGATTGGATATGTGAAAGGAGAGTAGGTAGACTTAATATTATCATTAGTCATGACTTGAGCCAAACTTAGCAGTTTTAAAACCATGTTTAATAATACTGCCTGCATATTCAAATTAACAGGGAAGCTTTTTAAGAACAAAATCTTAGGCTCCACCTCCAAGATTCTTATTCAATTGATATGAGGTAGGATCTAAGCATCAGAATTTTTTTAAAAGCTCCTGAAGATTATTCCATTGTGCAGCCAAGACTGAAAACCAGTCTTAGAACAGCATCAGTGATACAAAGTAGGTGAAAATGGCATCATATAAGGTGAGTCTTGGTTGTGACCAAGAGATGAGCTCAGCTCTATATTCTGCAAGGTCTCAGCAACTGAGGTTCAATGGGTTTCAAATCATGATCTAGGGGAAAGAACACTTGGATAAAAACCAAGAATCATAAGAATTACTGAATGGTGGGTGAAAGGTGCCCTCAAAAATCATCCAAACTTAATTCTCTTCCTGATTGCTGTGTGAGCACTGGCAATTCAGCTTAGGTCTCTGAGCCTCAGTTTCCCCAGACATTAAATGAGCAGGTTAGATTAGATAAGCTCAAGGGTGTCTTCCAGGGCTGCTCTTCTCGGATCCTCAGATAGTGCTCAAGCATTAGAGGAAAGAGATGTTGACATTGCACATTCGCTTTGGTACTCTGCTCATTCCTTGCCTGAAGTCACTCTGCAGCTCTCTCTGATGCTGGCCGGACGCCAGCCTGGGCCCCTCGAGTGAGAGGCAGCTGGATTCCCATCCTGAACCTCCCTCCACCCAGCCTTGTCCGGCAGGATGCAGGCTTCCGTGAGAGTTGTGAAGGCCGCCCGCTTGAATTGCAGGGCAGCCTCTGAGTGATCTCTGCTCCCCAGCCGGCACAGGGCCTGACCGCTGACGGTATCTGCAGAGGAAGTGGTGGAATGTGGAAGTTTACATGACGACAGTGGGTGCACATCTTCCTGCCTGAGCCCGGGGAGCGCAGCCAACGCTGCTGTGCCCTGATGCTCCTTGTTTGTCCCCAGCTTGGCGGCCTTGGGCTGCCTCAGAGTCTCCTGCTTCATGTTTTTCTGAGGGTGGGCCTCTGAGCAGGGCTTAAGGAATCAGTTAAACCAACAACAAAACTGTTTATTGCTTACATCCTCTGGAGCAGGCTGCTTACTGGGAACATCACGCTGGGGGTCTCCAGGCCTCAGGCTCTGACCAAAAGCCTTGAAAGGGAATTGCTATGGTCTGAGTGTTTGTTCCCAACCCCCATTTAGAGGTGGGGCTTTTGGGTGGTACATAAATCATAAGGGTGGAGCCCTCTTGAATGGGATTAGCAACTTATAAAATAGACTCCACAGAGATCCCTAGCCCCCTCCACCACAAGAAAATACAAGGAGAAGCTTACAACTTGGAAGAGAGCCCTCACCTGGCCCTGATTTTAGACTTCTAGGCTCCAGAACTGTGACAAATAAATACCACCCACTCAGGGGTATTTTTGTTTTAGTAACCTGAACAGACCAAGGCAGGAATCATCCCAGCCAATCCCTTAATGCAAAGTGTCCTCTCCAGGGCATAGGCATACTAGAAAACTATGAGATCTACCTCAAGCTCAGAAGAAAAGTGCCTAATATGTGCCAGGCTTGAGGTTGTGAGAGAAATGAAGGATTTTGATAGGACAAGGGCAAGGGGTTTTAAAGTGCACATTGCAGGCCTTTTTAGACTCTCAGTCTCTGTGCAGGTAGAAGAGTGGGGTAAGGTGAAAGCGATGGGCAGCTGGAAAAAGGCAGATTTAGTAGATATTGCCCATGGAAGGGCTTTGAAAGTGAAGGTGGGAGCCCCAGGGTCCAACAGAGAACTGATGACATAAGTCAGTCTCTGGGTTCTGCTTTCCAGAAACTGGCACCTTGGTCCAGGTGAAGCCACTTTGCCATACATACCCTTTTGGGGCATTGAGAACAATAGCACCTGACCCAGATCTTCTTTCTTAGCCTTTCTTTGGACTCATGTGGTCCTAGTGTCCTGGAAAAACTCTTTCTTGTGTTCCCCTTTTATGGGAGGTGGCACAGGAGTACGTAGTGGCAGCTTAAGCAAGCAGGGCTCCCTCTTGATCACAGAGAGGGACTGACACTCCAGCTTCTGAAGCTGGAAGGGTGGCTCATTGTACTGGTGGAAGGCATAGCACCAGAGGCATCGTGAGACCAGGAGGGAACTGGATTTCAAATGTGGCCCCTCCACTCAGCCTGAGCTCCCACTCCAAGACCCAGCAAGGCCCTATAACCTAGACCTCTAAGCAACAGATTCCAGGGCTTCCTCTTCACATCTTCAAACGCTTGCTCTCTTTGGAATTGTGATGCCAGCTACTTCCTTTTTCAAGGTTTTAGCACGCAAAGAATCAGTGTGAGGACCCCATGGGAGAACATAGGAGGGAACCATACACCTGGCAGAACTGCACACACTCATCAATGTAAATTAGGTGTTCAATGAGTCTTTCCATGTTGGTTCCACTGTAATTTAAAAACAATAAGCCCCAGGAAATTAAGTATTTAATTGCCTTACTCAATAGCGTTCCAAATCATTCCCCTGCCTCCCTGTCTTCTGCAAACAGGCCTCTGAGAGAATGCCCTAGGTGCTGTCCTCGGCCCCCATCAGTCTGGCCCTCAGGGGGCTGAGGGCGGGTGGAGCAGAGCCTGAGTAGCAGGACTGAGAAACACTGCCCCTGCCCCCAAGCTGTACCTTTCGCTCTGTGACAGGTCAGGGCTATAGGCCAGGGGAAGCTAACCAGGGTGAGGAACACAGAGAAGAGGAGACAATGTGAGGGAATGAAGGGAGGAAAGGAAAAATGGAGAACACGCAGGTGCTGGGAAGGCTGAACTATCACTGATTTCAAGCCACTGATTAAGCCATGTGGCTTCAAGAGTTCAAGTACATTTAGGGGAGCAACGGGATGACATACATAAAACCAGTGCAGGTAATACCTGCTGGGAAATTAGGCCAGTGGTGTCCAGAGCTGAAAGCATACTTGAGAACATCTATTTGTGTATTTTTTATCTGATGATTTGATTTCTGTTCTGTGTATATTTTATAATATATATATGACATAGCAATATAGTAATTGGATATGTATATAATTTATAAATAAATAAATATTCCTATGTTAGGGGGTGAATGCTCAAATATTTTCTACTGATGGGATACATGGTTGAAACAGCCTGGAGACCACTTAACTAGAAAACCATTAAGGATTCTACCATCCCACCTAACAAGGCCTGGGGCCTCACCACTACCTCTGCCAGGCTGGCTTAATGTAGAAGGAAAAGTCAGCTGTCTGGAAAGCTCTAGTGCCTCATGTCCCTTTAAAAGGTGAAATCACTTATATTTTGGTGAAACAGGAAAATTATTATTACATACTATGAGAGTTACTATCTAAACCCCCAACCAGCCTCTAAGGATGTCATATCAGAGTGGGTCCGCCCTATACAGTTGTGGCCACTGAAAGACAAGTAGGGACTGGAATCCTGTCTGTGCCCTACTCACCAAGCCATGGGCCCGGAGAGGGGTGCCTCTGCCCCAGGGAAGGGGGGCCTTTACTAACTCCCACAAAGGTGTGTGAGTCAACAGCCCTGTTTGTTTGTTTTTTGGCTTTATTTGAATATAATTTTCTCATAGAATTTGCTTTCATAAATACAGTTTATTGCTCATTTTCTCTTAGTCTAATAATAATTTTGAGATTCCAGCTCCTAAAGAAGGCCTCGCTATGGGAGTGATAGAATGAGGCTCCCGCTTCAGCAGGCACAGCCCCTCAAAACCATGGTGAGCACTCAGAAGCTGAAGATCATTTTCTGTCTCATAGACGCCCCGAGGCCATCTGACTAGGTGAGCTGTTCCACACAGAAAGCAAAGTACTAAGCCTCAGCCCAGCCTCGATTGGGGCCAGCCTGTTCCCTGGGCCCCGGGAGGCGGCCTGGCTCAAACACCTCTGTTGGACAGAGCCATCCGGCCATGGAAGCGTGCATTTCGCTCAGCCTGGGGCCACACTGGAATAATGCAATCCTTCTGAATTCAACCACGGGCAGTCATGGCCATCCACATATGTCCCTGCTCAGCCTTATCTTCCTGCAAATTCCACTGATTTATTTACTGGAAAATGCGATATTTTCTCCCCAGATGTCCTCTCCTCCTAGGGAGTGATTTTGCTTCTCAGCCCTCAGGCAGCGAGGAGAAAGGGGCAGCGCTGGGCCTCTGCGGGCTGCCTCGGCTGTACTCCTGGGGGTCTCATGCATCGGCCTTGGGCTCCTTCATCGATTTGACAAATTCCTTGACTTCTTCTTCCAAGGCTTTGTTCCTCTTCTCAACGTCCTCCCGGGAGCGCTCCACGTTGCGGAGGCTGATCTCCAAGGCCGCAGACCTATTCTTCTCCTTCTCCAGTTCCTCACTGAGCCTCACCACCTTCGCCCAGACCTCGTAATTTTCCTTCTCAAGGCTGCAAGGCAGGAAGAAAGGAATGAAAGACTCGGTGTTACCTCTAGGCTCCTCCTTCACCCCTCTCACAGCCTCTTCTGTCCATTTTCTTTTGCACATCACAAGACCCATACCCAGCCTTACTGCTTATTTATGTCCCAACCCTCACATGAGCACTTCCTAGGAAATCTGAATTCCCGGAGATGTCTAAGCCCCTATTTTGTCATTTAGCACCATCTGGTGACATCTCTTGTATTGACGTTGTTCATGTCATTCTAGGTTTCGTATCTTCCACCAAGTACTAGTCTTTGAAAGAAGGGACCATGTCTAATTATGTATATTTCAACCCCTCCCCCACCACCCCCTTGCATCAGTCCTGCTCAATAGAAATGTTGATTGACTGCTGAAGCCCCACCCATATTCTAGATTGCCAACACCTTTGTACTCCTGAGAGCCTTCTCAACGTGCTTCAATGGTGAGTATGGACCAGCGCCTTCTGTTATCAAGGCCTCCTAGGGATCAAGATTTGGAGAAGTACATGGAACTTCCCTTTGAGAGCAGCAGTCCTGACACTCCCACCCTCACTTCTGAACCCTGCTCCAGGTGAAGAATCTGTTGGATTCCTGAATTCAGAGGATTTTCACTGTTACGGGCCAAAACCCTAGTCTAGTCCCAGGTGCCTCCTCCCAGGTTGTGCTGAATTAACTCTCAAGAATGAGAGTACATATGACATTTTTAAAGCCAAAATAGGGAATTTCAGGCCTGCGGAAAGATTGGAAATTCACTTCAGAATTTCATTCTGAGAGGTGCTGCCTCCCTGCTCCTCCAACAACCTGACCATTTGTCATGGAGACTGGAGCTCCCATTTGAGCCCATGCCTGCCTTCTGTCTTCAAGGGCTTTGCCCCATTCTGCATGCAGTGCCTTTGTCTATCACTGCCTATTGCTTCTTAAAACTAGTCTTATCCCTTCCGGTTCTCCCATTACAGATCTAGTTTTCTTCTCCGAATTCTCCATATACATTTTGCTTTGGGACACATCGCAAATGATACACTATGCTAGATCCTGACCAGTGATTTCAGTGGGGAGGTAAGATCGAAGTGGGCTCGGGAGCTGGTTGACCCAGGTTCAAATTCCAGCCCCACCAATTAGTGGTGCAATCTTCAGGAGTCTTTTGTCCTTCCTGAGCCTCCATTTCTTCTGTAAAATGGGGGATATTACCTATTTCAAACGATTGCTGTGTGGATTAAATGAAAAGGTGTATGAAGCATGAAGCTTAGATATTGTGGACTGTTATTTCTCCCTCCGCCAAGGATGGGAGGTGGCTGACAGTGGATTTAGAAGACTGTTCCATTCAGGAGGAGTGGCCACCTCCATGGCAGCCAGTTATTTCCCTACCCTGTCAATGACACCACTTTAGAGGACAGTGGGAGTCTTCTCCAGGATGCTTTGGTCACTGCCAAGGTGTCACACAAGTCTTGTAGTTCTACAAATGATTGATTTGTACTTTGGCCTCCTGTACTTCTCTGCCCTCTCCTCTCAGTTACTTTCTTCTGCTCTAGCCCACCAATGCTCTGGTGCATGAACACCCCAGACCTGCTCCCTTCCCCTGGCCTCTGCACCTTTGGTCTTTCTGCCTGGCCTGTTCTTCCCCCATATGTAGACCTGACTTATCCCCTCTTCTCTTTCAGTCCTTTGCTTTAATGCCACCTTCTCAGTGAGACCCTCTTGACCACCCTATTTAACACTGGAGCCACCTTATTGACTCCCCCAACCTCCTGCCTTGCTTTATTTCTCTCCGTGGCATTTTCTACCATCTGGCATAGCATATATTTTCACTGCTTAATGTATTGTCTGTCTGTTCCTGCTAGAAGGAAAGCTCTACTAGCACAGGGACTTCTGTCTATTTTGTTCAGTGCTTTTCCCCAATACCTGGGATGATGGTACCTGGCACACAAGAGGTGCTCAATAAATGTTTTTAGAATAGATAAATCACACTAATATGAAGAGAAAAAAAAATTAAGTTCCTCTTAATTCAATTAAGTCATGTTGATCCTTAAAGAATCACTATTTGGAAATAGTTGATTAAGCTACATAACTTTTCATGAATTTAATTTAAAGCTTAGAGTTTTCACTAATTTAGTCGTCTTATTACTTCCTTTACCTTTTTCAGTATCTGGCCTAACTGCTATAGATTACTGTATTCTCGAAACTGAAGGTTTATAATGTTCCTTCTTTGGCAGATGAGAACAATCCCTGTTGTTTCTAAAGATGGAAGCTGAGTGCTCCCCCCCCCCCGTATGTGACTTACTTTTTAATCTGTTCTTCATACACTTGTTTCTGTGTTTCTATTTCCTTTTGCAGCTTTTGGACCATCTTTTGCAAAGATTCAAGTCCCTCTTCTGCAGAGTTCTTTTTCCCAGGCCCAGTTTCAGAGTCTGGGCTTGAAGGAGCATTTCCTTTGGAGTCACAGGCATGGGAAGAGGGTGCGCCTGCTTCATTCCCCGGGGGCCCTGGCAGGGTAGGGATGTTATCGTAGGTGGAAGTCCTCTGGGAGTCAGAGAAGTTCTGCACACCATGAGACATCGTTCTCCTGTGCCCTTCCCCTGCCTTCCCCTCTGAAGAAGATGACCAGAACTCATTATTAAAGATCTCCACTTTGCTGCTGTTGGCACTCTGAAAAGCTGCCGTCAAGAAGCATTTCCGATTAGGGAGCGTCTGAGTCCTTTTTCGGGACTGCAGCTTCCATTCTCCCAGCTTGTCCCTGGGAGCTCTGCTGCTGTCTTCTAGACACACATCGCTCAGCTGTCGTTCAGTGGGGCTGGTCGCTTCTGAGTCACTGGCCTAGAAGAAAACGGCCACGAAAGTTACATGGGTTTTTCCCACATGTGTCATGTTCCCAATAAAAGAATTAGAGACTTGAAAGAAAGTGTCTCTGGGCTGCATGTCTATGAAATTCTTCATTAGAAGATCATCTATGCATCTGTCACATTAGTTGATAGTCTGACTGGCATTTTTTTCTAAAAGGACATTGTACTTGAAGGAACTCATGTTCTAAAGATGAAATAGTGACTAAAAACATTGTATGTTTGTGGTAAAAGAGTTCTAGACCAGGATTCTTTTATAACTTTAAAATGGGGAGGCTTCTCTATCACTCAAAATCCAGAAGCCATAAAAGAAATATTTGATAAATCCAACCTCTATGGCATGACCCCCCAAATTAAAAAGAACAAAATGAACACAAAGAAATCACCCCATGCTCAATCAATAAAAAATTACAAACTGGCAAAAATATTTGCAATGCGTATCACTGACAACAGGCTACTCTTCCTAATATATAAAGTCTGTAAAAATTGAGAAGAGAAAGACCAATAACCAATCAATGAGAAGAAAAAGACAAATAACCAATTGAAAAGAAAAAGACCAATAACCAAAGGGCAAAAGACAAGATAAGACAGTTCACAGAGGAAAACGTAGCTGGCCTTTACACATAAGAAAAGATGTTTGGACTCTCTTATAATAGGAGAAACTCAAATTAAAATTACTGAACTATCAGTTCTCACCTATCAAAAGGACACCCTCCAAGAAAAACCCCAAATTTGACAATACACTGCTAGTGAAACTATGAAAACAGGTTATTTTATGTGTTGCTGTTACAATTACAAAATGGCACAAAATTCATCTGATAATTTTAATTAAAATTACACATTCTAATTCTATTTACCCCCTGACTCAGCATTCCCAGCCCTGGGAATGTAGCCCAGAAATACACCTGTCTGCATATAAAATGAAGCATGGTCAAGGTTATTCATTGCAGCCTCATTTGTAGTACAAAGGAATGAAAACCACCTGTCTATCTACAGGGGCTGGTTAAGTAGGTTATGGTACAAGTGCAGAATGGAACACTATACACTTGCAAAAATATAAGGTCATATGAGGTAGCTCTCTATGTATTGACATGAAAAGGTCTCCAGGACATACTGTTAAGTGGAAAAATTCAAGTACAGAGTGGAGTGTGTGTGTCTGTGTGAATGTGTGTATGTGTGTGTAGAGAGAGAGTGTGTGCATGAGAGAGATTATGTTACAGTTTGTGTAAAAAGGGAGGTAAATAACAATTTACATTCATATCTGCTTATATTTGCATATAGAAAAAATAAATAAGAAACTAATAAAGGCAGGGAAGGATGGAACGGGTGGAGATAGAGGATGTGTGTATATATTATATATTTTTTAGTTAAATTAAAAAGAAAAAGAAAGAGAAAGACAGAAAAAAAAAAAAAAAAAGAGCCTTAAAAGTAAAATCAGAAAATCAGGGCTGAAGCTCTCCTTCTAGCTCTTCTAGCTAATCAGCTGCTTCAGCAACCTCATCTGGCATCACAAGTACCCGGGCCTTGAAATGAAAACTAGATCTAAATCGCATTCTGTATCATTCCAGTGTTGCCACCTTAGGCCACCTGGTCAATCTCCCTGAGCCTCAGGTCCTCAGACATAAAATGTGCTTGATAAATTCTGCCCTACACAGTTACAGTGAGGACTCCAGAGGTGATCTGTTTACATTTCCCAGCACAATGCCTGCCCATAGCTGCCCACACTGTTACAATCAATAGCAGAAACCTGTCCAATGAGCATAAGAGTGGCAAGTCTCAAGCACAGCTAGGATGATGCCATTGTATGAGGTATGAGTGTTTCTAAATATTAATTTAATTTTTGAGTGTTAGTAAGATGCATTGTGTCCAGACTTCACCTAAGAAACATCATCATCACTACCACTACCGACTTTTTTTTTCTAATCCTTTCCAGTCACCCACAAGATTAAAAGTACTGCTCAGCCGGGCGTGGCTCAGCAGTTGAGCATCGACCTAGGATCCAGGAGATCTTGGTTCGATTCCTGGTCAGGGCACATGCCCGGGTTGCGGGCTTGATTCCAATAGGGGGCATGCAGGAGGCAGCTGATCAGTGAGGACTTTCTCATCATTGGTGTTTCTATCTCTCTCTCTCCCTCTCCCTTCCTCTCTCTGAAATCAATAAAGATATATTTTAAAAAACAAAACAAAAAAAACCCCAGAAGTACCAAAGGTAACTTACATTACCAGGTCAACCCGAAATTTAAAATTCATTTCTCGGTCACACATGAAGAATCAGGCTGTTATGTAAAGTTAATATGTCCTTTCATTAAAAAAAAAAAAATTGTTTTTATAAATATATTAAAAATATGTGACCTTTGTAAATTGTTGCCCTCAAACAGTCTAAATTTCAGAGCCTGCAGAGTTTTCTGACATTAAGAACGTGAGGCCCAAGCCTTCAGTACAAATGAGGGGGGTGACATTGCTGAGACAGTTTATCAGGGAATGAGAAATATTACACGAACACATCACATACTCTGAGAAAGAAATCACGTTTCATGGGTTAGCAGGAAACCAGTTCTCTCTGGACTTTGACCCAGAATTTCAACAACCATCACTAAAACATTTATAAGGTAGTGTATCTTTTTTCCCATTGACCTTTCCTGGGCCGTGTTTCAGTGTTTCCCTTTGGAGTGGGCTTCAGTGGACAGTCCCATTGCTCAGTCATCTGGTGACTGGCACACCCGACAGTAATTTCACCTCCGGGATGCAGACACTCCAGTTTGAAAGAAGCCAAGCTTTCAAGATGCGTTCAAATGAGTCTTTACCAGCTGCGCCCACTACCACGGCATCCACAAAACTCCCCAAATTGCCACCCAGGGCAGCTCTTACGTCATGGAAGACCTGGATTAAAGGAAGAGTTGGATGGAAGGAGGAAGGCTCTCTGCACCTTACCGTGTTACCGAAGCTGTCCGTCCTAGAAATTGGGACATCTTCAGAGGCATCCCAGCCCACGGAGCTTCGAGCCACCGGAGGTTTCTTGGGGTCATTTTGGGGGGCAGGGGGTGACAGGGGTACATCCTTGGACTTGGGGAAGAGGACTTCATGGTCTCTGATCATCATGGTCATCACTCGCTGGATTTGAGGAGTCCCTGAAAGAAATAGAAAGAGATTTGTAGAGCTGGACCGTGGAGCAGGAGGCAGGCAGTCCTCAAAGGTCTCTACCTATGGGATGTCACCAAAAGCAGCTGTAAAACCACAGGGCCCCAAAGGACCTCATTTTGCTCCTCATAGGACTCTTCTTCATTGCTTGGGGTAGGAGACCGTGGTGAAAGGGATGGGTAGAAGAATGATGTGGATTGGGGTGAAAGAGAGTTATTTTCAGCTTATACGCCACTGGATCAGTCTTTAATCAGGAAATTAGCAACCTAGCAGCAGAGAAAATTAAGACATCTGTCTCTCCTAACGTGGTCTTCAATGTGACATTTGATTTTTTATTGCACACACAGTGAATGCGTGCCAGGCATATTGCCTCCCCAAATCCATGGCAGACATCAGTACTCTATGGCAGGACTTTTGCTCACTGATACAAAACACAGCCTCAGAAGCCTTTTCAACACAGCTTTACAAGTAGCCCTTTTGTGAGTTGGCTTATAAAATGAAACTTGTTTGTTCTCTCTGGCTAAGGGTACTTAAACATAATAAAAGATTAAGAAACATTAGCTAACTGTATTTGTGCTAGCCGATTGTATGTACTGTGTGACCATTAGGTAAATCTTTAACTTCTGCTGTGATCTGGAAAATGGGCAAAATTCCTGCCCTGCCTACTTCACAGGGCATTTTACAATTCAGACAAGATAATCAGCTGAAAATTCATGGCAAATTGCAGATCAGTGCACAAACATAAGGTCTAGTGTTGTACCTGTTATTAGTTCCCCTGTATCTGTCTTACCACAGGACAAGCCGTACCTCTCATAATCACAGCAGGGTCTTCTACCTTTGACCTGATGAGATTCACACCAATCACAGTGGCCAGATTATCCACGCTCATCTTGTTAACAGCGCAGTTCAGCTGGATTTCATGCAGGAACCTGTGGACAGCCGGGAAATCCCAGGGTAAGGAACAGGAATTTGCCAGAAGGAAGTGCTTCCAGGTACCAATAAGATCCCAGAGATGGATCCCAACTCTCCTCCTGCTCTCAGGAATGGAATCAGCCTGCTCTTCCCACAAGACTTTAGCTTCACCTCGAAAGCTTTAAGATCAGGGAAGAATAGAAGCCAGGAGGGGCCTGCCCAGCTGTGGTGGTGGCCTCAGTCTGGGAGCAGGGAGGAGAGTCACATTGGCAGAAGGCAGGATCCAGTTCAGGCAGCTAAGAGGACACTAGAAGGTCCAAAAATGGGTACCGACTTGCCCCTTGTCCTGCCTTTATACGCTTATCTTCCAGGCTCTCAGCATCCACTGCACCCAAGCTCTCCAGAGAGGAAAATCTCAGAGATGGGACTCCGCAGCACCTCCTTGCTCTCATCCTCGGGTTACAACACCAGGCCTCCCAAATTCTCAGCAGGTGCTCAATAATTAACAATTAATTTTTACTATAATTTTACCCATTTGGGGCATGCAGTTCTCAGACTCACAATTAAACAGGTCAACAAAGGAAGTTCTAAAGACTTTTTCTGAAAACCACTTTTAAATGGATAGGATGAAGCAACATAAAATTCCAAATACAGAGAAATTATCAAATAAATGCTGGTGTGTCCAAATGAGAAAACCTTACAGAATATTATGAAGTTATTTATAATCTTGTTTTATGACATAGGGAAATGTTCACAATGGAACACTAAGTCAAAAAAGAAAGCAGGATACAACTATATATATATATATATATATACATATATATATGTATATTATAGATATATAACTTCAATTTAGTATAAAAATTGTTTCAGTACATTTATATTGATGAATGTAAAAATCTATCATAGAGACAAAAACATCTAGAAGGAAAAACACCCAGGTCTTGGTGATTTTTGTTGGGTGAGGAGATTGTGTGTAATTTTTATTTCTTATTTACAGTATGTTACACATATCACTTTTTATAATATGAAAATTACAATAGATAATTTTTTTTTAATTAAGGTAAATTTCAGCTCTGTCTGACACGGAGATCCAGGTTCCCAATTCAGCCAGATCTGGGTCAACCCACATGCTGCATATTGCCACAGAGATGACATGCAGTCCTCAGGAAGGGGAACTGAAAGGGTGGCCTGGAATGTATGTCTCTGGGGCAATACGTTATGGCCAAAAGTCAGGAAGATGAGAGATAATTCTAGAAACATTATAAAGATTCTGGGTTCTATTGCATGTCTCAGGGCTCTGGGCAGAGCTGGGGAAGGTCCAAGGAGGAAACATGTACAGTTTGTGTGCCGATCAGATTTTCAGAAGATTCTTTAAATTAACTTGTGGTCACAGGAAACTACCTCGAACTATGTAAATAGAGTTGACCTTCCAAAAATCTGAACCAGAGTCTCTGAGTTCATAGAGACACTCTTTCCTTCTCTATCCAGGAACTTATTTCTATTATTATTTATTATTATTATTAAATTTATTGGGATAACATTGGTTAATAGAATCATATCAGTCTCAAGCAAGGATTTCTATGTTACAAGATCTGTATATAGCACTGTGTGCCCACCACCCAAAGTCAAATCATCTTCTGTCACCATATATTAGGCCCCCTTCATCCCCTACTCCCTCAACCCCTTGATTGAAAACTGTAGCTGATACCAGGGGACTCTTACCTGCAGAGGTAGCTCAGGAGGCTGTAGTTGTCTCGAGGAAGGAGGGAAAGCTGCTTCATCAACTCCTGCTGAGCCTGGAAAGAGATTTTTAACACCAGTAAATGAGCCTGCTCACTTGCCAGCAATGAGACCCTGGAATATAATTGGTGTGTCTGTGTAGAAGCAACACTTTGGCAGTGTTACTGGAGTGTTACATCTCAAGCATTCATTAAGCAATTACTGTGAGTATGAGTTGTTGATAGTCCATGCCTCAGGGTAGCATAGAGAAGAAGGCATAATAACAAATTAAAAAGTAACACTGCAAAAAACATGAGCCTCTCCATACTATTTCTTTGCAACATTTTGTGAACTTATTTCAAAATAAAAAGTTATTGAAAAACACACACAAAACTATGAGGAGTTATCACAGGGACCCAACAGGCAGCTGAAGCTGAAGGGAACAAAGAAAAATGATCTGTCCTTTCTCTCTCTGGCACGTGCACTTTTTTGTATGCCCATGCCTGACACTCAGTCATCACGGGGCTAGGACATTCTGACCTCTCGCCTGCCCTCCAGGTTGGTCAGCCTGACCTTGTGTCCCACTGGGTCTCAACAAGGCCGTACAGTTTGAAATCCTTCTCAGACTCATCCTTCCTCTCTTACTAATTTTAAAGTGACTTGGGGTATTTGATTATGGTCCAATTCTTTACTGGATTGTTACATCCCATGAAGACTCTCACCATGATTGGCATCATTTGCCTTTTGTTGCCAAGAAAGTTCCTGTGGGACAAAGTGTCTCACCAAAAGGCATGGACTTCCTGACCCACTTGCCTACCAGAATAGTGTTCACTAACCATCACCTTCTTCCCAAGCAGGACATCTAACTTCAATGAGATACCAACCTTTCCCTCATCTGCATTCATGAGTTGCCCGCACAGCAGGAACCCCTCATACTGGCTCCAGGGAACCACCGGCTCTGGGAGGTCTCGGAGGTAGAGCTTTAACAGGGAGGCCACCGTGTGCACATCTGTATCTCTGGAAGGAAATAAGCAATGGTCTTTGAAAGCAAAACTTCAGAAGTCTCCTCACATCCCCCCTGGTGATCCACTGAATAGAATTCCAGGTTCCAAAGGGGAGCTTTGCAGAGGAGTAGAGTCTGATAAAGGCATATCTGACCAAAACATTTTTGCTAATTCCCTTTATGGAATAATAACCTCCAGTACTTTTTCCTTTATCTATTCTACCCAACTGCCTCAAAGGAAAGTTCAAAGTCTGCTTGTTCATTAAACCTTCAACAGTTTAATCTTCATTGCTTTCTTCTTTCTCCAGTCCCTTAGCACATCACAATTTAGCATTCTGTACTTAGTATCTCATTTTTTGTGTGTGATAACTGCTTAACACCCATGGTCCATTCATTTATTTGATTCCTCAGAGCCTTAAAATAGTTCCGGGATTGATTCATATATTTATACAATCGTTCATTCAATCCACAAACATTGAAGGAACAACTCAGTGCAAGATACTATGTCAGGCACTGGGACTTCAGCAGTGAACCCAAGGGACATACGGGACCCCTGGCCTCACTGAACCACAGAGCTGTGCAAACTCAAATGTTACCAAGTCATTACAATACAGTGCGGTTAGTGCCATGACAAGGGAAGTGCCATGACAAGGACCTGGGATAGTATGGAAGTGTGGAAAGGGACACTTAATGCAGAGTTGGGAGCCATAGGGGATTCTTCAGACAAGATCTGTAGAACGACAGGAGTTACAGCGTCAAGCAGGCAGCGTATGAATCAGCCTGGAGGGAGGAGGGAGGAGGCCCTGCTGCAGGAACTGAGACAACATTCATTGGATCACCTGACCAGCAGAAAGGGACAAAGGGTCTTCAGCTCAGCTTCTCTGGTTTACAGCAGGGATTGACACACCATGACCCTGGAACCAAATCTGGCCCACTGCCTGTATTGGTACAACCAGCTAGCTAAGAATGGATTTTACATTTTTAAACGGTGGGAGAAATAACTCAAGAGAAGAATATTTCATAGCCTGTGAAAATTAAGTGCTACAGGAACACAGCTATGCTCGTGTGTTTTTGTATATAATCTTTGGCTGAGTTGAGATAAGAGCAGAGTTGAGTAGTTGCAGCAGAGACTATCTAGCCCACAAAACATAAATATTTCATATGTGGCCCTTTAAAAACGTCTGCTGCCCCCTGGTTTATAGAGCTATTGCATTTATTCCACGGAGAAAATAAGTCTGAATCTACCGTATACAGGAAGATCATTAGTGAAGAAATATTGATTTATTTCATATCAAGAAAAACTGGTGTTCTTAAGAGACAGTTTTGGTAGTGTTTCAAAAGCTGTGATGTGGTAAAAGGTTCAGATAATCTGAGTGTCTCCTTTTCAAGTAACTGGAAATATAGACTCCGCTGGAGGAAATAGCTCCTGGAGACAGGAAGGGTGGGCTGAACAGGAGGAGGGGAAGGGGGGTGTTGGAAGCAGCAGAATAAAAAACTCCAGGACTTGACTCTAAATCTCTGTCTTGGCATTTTGTGTAAGTTCTTTAACATTTGTCTTTGCCAGTGAGCGGTGGGAGCCGTCGTCTGAGAGGCTCTCCCTCGGTAGCCTGTCAGTCCTGCGCCTCAGCCCGCACAGATGTCTGCCAGTGCGCCACGGCTGCCCTGGGGAAACAGAGGGTGGAGATTCGGGAAAGGCTTCCCTGCTGAGTCACTGCCTAAAAATACCCCTGGCAAAGGCCTCTTGTCAAAATGCACAAGAGGTTCCCAAGAAAGTGTCAGAAAGACAACCAGCGGACACCTTGCAGGAGTGGCGTTGTCCTAATGTCCCTGCATCACAGTCCACCCAGGTCTCAATCAGAATCCAGAGTCTCACCCCACATCCAATTAGTCTCCCAGATGCCCTCGATTCTGCTGTCCAAACGTCATGGGAATCCCTCTAAGGCCCACTCCTCCTTCCACTCCACCTTTTCAGAAGGACAATATTTTTTGGCCAGGATTCTGCCCAGCCTCCTATCTAGCCTTCTGCCTCCAGGGTTCCGTTCTCCGATGCACTGTCCCTTGCCTGGCACAGTCTTCAGCACTCAAAACACACCCACAGAAGGAATGTAGAAAACAAAGAATTTGAAATGAGAAAAACAACATAGATAACATGTCAAGAAAATGGAATCGTTTGAGAAGAAACAACACCAATAAAGGAGACAACCAACTAGACAGTTTAACCAGAAGAAACTAAGACAGAAAAAATAGCCAACATTAGAAGAGAAAGGGGTTATAACCACAGATACAGCATAGATACCTCAAAGTTATAACCAAAGGCTACAGGTAGCTATAGAAGTCATCTTGGAACACTGACGTGCTCGGAAAGCTGCCCGATTCGTTTTACCAGGAGGAGATACGGCTGCTTCTCCTGGCTGACTCCTCATCATTGTTTACTGTGTCTCAGCTAAATGTCATTTTCTTGGGGACCTTCCTAAGTCCACCAGAACATGTCAAAAGCCTCTGTTTTGAATTCTCATAGTACCATCTATTTTTCATTTTTAGCACTTGACACATGAAAATTATACAGTTATTTCTGTAAATCTTTGGTTTAATGTCTGTGCCCCCTGGAACAGGGCTGACTCATGTCATTGGTATAGTCTAGATTTCCAGCATATTTCCTGAGTTTGCTGTTCCTCCAGCCCAATGAGACATCTTTAAGTAATTTTTAAAATCAAGGACTAAGAGAAAGTCAGTAGCCAGGTGGCTTTTGAGTTCAACCCCTGGTCCACCAGAGATTAGCCAAGGCTCCCCAGAGGACTCTTGAAGCACCGATCCTATAATACAGAATGTCTGTATGTGTTTCTCACAGAAATAATAGGTACTGGAGTGTATTAGCTTTGTGGCCAGACAGTATCCTTAGTAGAGGCTGGAAAAAGAAATTTTTAAATTCAGATTTTATCTTTAATTAGAGCCAGACACACCTGCACTAGAATCTACCAAATTAGAGCACCTTTCTTTGTTTTTTCATTCTAGTGAGGCAATTTTGGGGAACTCGTGATGAAACTGTACCTCTGACCAATGTAGAGGACCTAGATGAGTCCCTGCAAGGGTCATGTGGACCCAAGAGTCAGCCCTCAGAGGACCCTGAAGAGCCCTTTCTATTTCTGGATGTGTGAACTCCTCAGTTCTGGTGGTGGAGAAGTGTGATAACTTTCCTACTTTCAGCCCCAAATATTTCAGAGGAATCTAAGACTGACTCTACCACCCAGGCTGATTTTATAGATGCATAAGCTCCAGACTAGGGCAGGTATTTGGCAACCCCCTGAAATCACTTCTGTGCCTCCTGGCTGACTTCACATTGCTTTTGCAACAACCCACCCGTATCTTTTGATCAACTCAAAGCTAATTAAAAACATAAGAAGAAAACTAAATATAAAGGCATTGAGCTTAATTGAACAGGTGCCTGATAACACGAAAAGCAATTTATGGTGTTGCTGAAAGGTCCTTAAATTTCATGCCCATAACCTGCTATAGTTCCAGTAATAACTCTATCCCTTGCTTTCCTGTTAAAATATAGCACCCTTGCTAAATTAACCTGTTACATGCCAAGGGCAGCAAAGACAAACCTGCAATGGTCCAAACTAAGACCGTGGCTGTGAGAATGGAAACAGATGCATCTTAGAGATGCTTTGGAGGGAGAACAGACAACGTTGGAGATTGGAGTGAGAGGTGAGCAGTGAGACTGTCCACATGACATGACACCCAGCTATTTGCTCTTCCCCCAGATTCAGCCCTGCCCCTCAGTCCTAAGTAAGCCTGTGAAGAATTTCAACCCTTGGAAACTGGATAGTGTTCGGGCCCGTCTTGCTAAATCTTGGTTTATGGGCTGCTCATTTGGAAAGAATAAAGGCTCTTTCTTGCCAGCAGGACAAGTGCACGCAGGCAACCAAGGCAAATATTGCACAATAAGGAGAGCACGTGCAATGCCAGGGTAGCCATTGTATTAGCTGAGAATCGCAGACAAGAAAGCCCCCGCTGGGGGGCTGGAGGAGGTAGGCGGGAGGGAGATGGGGGGGGAGAAATGTCCCTACACCTGATATGCCCCAAACAGGTCTGGGCAAACTCCACGGAGGAGACTCGGGAGAACACCAGGCTATCGAGCTGTTTGTATGCACTCCCTCCAGAAAGGCTCAGAGCTGGATAGCGCTGCGCTCTCCCACACTGAGAAGTCCTGGTTCTGGCCACTTCAGGAAGGCTGAGGAAGACCACTGGAGCCCTTGGATCTAGACATGGTGTGTTCTCCACCATGCCCAGTCTGTTGCACAGGAAACTCAGCCCTATGTTCCTCATCTGGCCTGAAGGCTGAGCCTGGAGCCAGGACCCATCTTTCTCTCCTACTCCACACTTCCCCTCCCCCTATACCCGAAACATCTCCTGCCTCTGCCCATCAGGCTCTCCTTTTAGCTCACAGCTCTCTCGGGTCATTGATCACCATGCTCGCCTGTGTTCCAGACTCCCAAATTCTGAATTATGAGCAAAACAAAAGGCTCTTTCTGTTGCAAGCCAGGGCTCTTGGAAGTGTCCATGGAAGAGAGAGTTCCTCTTTCGCTAGTGAGGCAGAGGGGAGGGTGAGGTGAAGATGGTGTACCTGTCAAAGGAGGGCCTCTCCCCTGCATCAAAAGCATCTCTGAGCTGCTTCACCAGGTTGTCCTGCCCAGGCAGTCGGAAGATGCCCTCTTCATTCAGGCCGCGCTCAAGGATGAACTCCGCACACTTCTCCACAAGGATGGGCACCGGGTGGGGGCCAAATTTCTGCTCATAGGCCACGGTCTCATCCAAACGCTGGCCAAACACCGCTGGGAAGAGAAAAACAGGACCTGCCCATCACTCTGACTTCGCCTGGATGAATTGACATGTCAAAGTGCTTTGCCTAGTTCTTGAATTTCTGTGTGGCCTATAACCTCAAAGGTTTTAGGTAAATGATGCTCAACAAAATAGAGGAAACAAATCACCCACAATATTCCCTGGGACTGGAAATTGGGGCAGTCTGTCAGCCTTTTTCTACTGACACACATTTTTACACATTTAAAATAACAAGTCACTTTTACTGAGTACTTGTGTGCTAGGAATTGTGCTCAGCACTCTGCACATCTTTCCTCACTTAATCTTGACAGCAATCCCATGAAGTGGTATTATTGTTATAACCGCCTTACTGTTAAGACACTGTGCCTTAGAGGCACTGATGAACTTGCCAAGGTCAGGTGCCAGGGCATGGTGCAGTCAGAATTCAAGCCCTGGCAATACGCGCAAGGGAATGTGCCTTTAACCATGGCAGCAAGCAGGTCGTTTTGAATATTCTCCTTGTGTCACTTAGCATTAAAGCATAAATCTGTCACATGGATGTCTCCAAGCATATTAAACCACTGTGGCATTTTGAATGTGCTTCACTATTATTAACATTGCCATACAGAGGCATATTCATTCACTGAGCAGAGCTCCTAGAATGTACGTACTACAATATATTTTTTCTAATTAATTGTTTAATTAATTATTTGACATTTGGATGGATGAACAGAGGCTTTTTATTCTTTTGAACTATTTCCTTAGGGCAAAATCCCACATGTAAAATTACTAGGTCACATGGTTTGAACATTTTTATCACTCGATGGCATGCAAATCGCTTTCCAAAAATACCATTCCAAATTACAGTGCCTCCAGCAAAGCATGTGTGGACCAGCTCCACCTAGCTCTGTCAGCACTTGGCTCTGGCTTTTTTCCACCCCGGCGGTGTAACAAGGTCAGTTTATAAGTCAGGATAATCAGTGGCTACTCATTATTTTCCCACCAAGCCTAGAGGTTCAGAAGACAGGTCATGGCTTCAGCTCTGCCCTGCCTGAGTTTCCCTCTGTTATAATTAGGGCTCTGTGGCACCAACCACTTCAATCCATGGACAAGGGTTCCCAAAGCCCTCGGGTTTTCCCTGATTCTCTTTCTGGTTGGTCCCCTGGATCAGTCTGTAATTAATGTGGATTCTACCTGTAAAGAGCTGTAGAGAGTTCTTGAATCTCCCATGTCCTTTCTACTCTCACCTATTGCCCTAGGCCAGGCCAGGCTGGACTTCTCTCTCACCTATGACTGTGTTTCTTCTCTTCTAATATGTTCAAAGCCTTCCTACTACTTACCTTTCTAAACCACTGGTCTACCTGAGCACATTCCCCCCTGTTTTTAATAGTCATCTACTTCTTCCCAAATTGCTACAGCAGTGCTTTTCAAATTGCCCCTCAAAGTCCTAGGGGGTTCCTCTGAAGCCCTTTCCTCATCACACATGTGTGCTTGAGAGGGGAGGGCATAGGTTCTAGGAGCAGTTGAGCAGGTGGGTCTCTGTTCTCCCTACTCCCAACAAGGCTGGGCTCCTGTCTGTGCTTCAGTGAGACTGATTAAATGTTTTTGTGCCTAACGTTTGGAAGCCGGGGTGGTATTCTTTAGGTTGGCACTCAGCCAGGCCCCCACCTACCTTTCTGGTCTGACTTCCTGCCACACTCCCAAAGGCACCTCACCTTGGTGTTCCCAAAGCCCACAGTGCTCTCCAGTCTTCATGCCCTTGGATGGTCTTTTCTCACAGCTTAATCTGTTCCTCTCTCCCTTCCCTGTCTCCTGGAATTCTATTTGTCTTCCTGGGCCCAATTCAAATATTGTCACCTCTGCTGAGCCTTCCTTGACCCAAGCTTGAGAGATTCCATCTCTACTCTGTGTAGCCATATCCTTCTTGAATATCCCAATCCCTTTCCACACTGTGCTATAATTATTTGTATGTCCCTGTGCCCTCTGTATGACTAGACTCCCTGATGCTAGAAATATGGAGATGGTCTCTTTTTATCCCCAGGGTTAGCACAGGGCCTGGCACAAGGTAGAAAGTCAATAAATTTTGCTAAATTACTTAGTGAATTAGTTCATCTTCAAGCAAATGCTTTCTATCATTAATAATAATTTTGGCATTTATTTAATTTAAGCATTAGTCAAGATCTCCTCAGTGGATAAATTCAGCTTTGCGCTAACATTTATTGAACATCTTGCCATGTGCCAGCAGCAGGCCACATGGGAGGTGCTATACAGACAAGGGAAGGTTATGTTTAATTAGTTTGCCATCAAATTATGAAAATGAAAAGACCCCACACAAAATAATGAAACACAATCAGAGAATGTCAGTACAATATAGAATTAGATTCCTATTTATCTGTGAAAGGAATTGGATATATTTTCACCAAATTGGAGGGAAATAATTGAACTGATCTGACTTAAAATATACACCACATGGCATTTGTAAAATTCCCTTTGAGGAGTCCAGGGAGTAGTACTTGAAAAGGAGAGGTGGATGTGTTTCAGAGCAGTTGAAACTTGAACTCAAGGGGCTCACTGGACCCCATGAGGAAAGAGCTCCCAAACACAATTGGATGGTGTGCATGTGGACGTTAAAGCTGTCAAATGTGAGCTGCATTTCCGAGGTCCCCAGGCAGAAGCTCTATTTTGCAGGTGATCTGGAATCAAGCTCCTTCGTATACTGCTCTATATAGTCAGTTCTCTAACTTTTTTCCTCCTCTGAGCCTATCAGCCTTGTCCCGTGTTCATTCTCTTTTCCTCCCATACTCCACAGTCAATCATTTCAATGTGACTCTTACCAGTACACTCATTTTTCAGATCTCCTTTTCTCTCCATCATTTCCACTCTGCTGATTTCCACTACCCTCTCCATGCCCTCATCAGGTCACTGAGTACTACACAGGAACATAGCATAATCTATCATGGAAATTTGTATTTCCAATCTCTGTACGATCTTGGTTCCAAAGCTTTACCACTCCCCTTGGGCTCACCACCATTCCCTCTTCTCTCTGTCTCAGTAGGTGACCTTGTCTTCTCTTTCCCTTACCTCCCCAAATTGAGAATATCACGAGTGAACTCCTTCATTTCCAGTCCCTGCCTCTCTCATCCTTCCTCCTGTCTGTCTGCTTGTCTCTCTCAGAGAAAGAAAAGGACCCTCTGCTTCCTCCAAGATGATGTTTTCTTGAACTGTAGGTTCCATCCCTTTTCACCTCTTTCAGGGTTTCACTCTTTCTCTTTTGTTTTAAATTTAGCCCACACGAGTCTAAGTCTTTGCCAGTATATCACAACCTTTACTTCTGCTCTTATCATTCACTTCTCAGTCCCTCAACCCATCCCCATTTGGTTTAATCAGCCTGCATCTTTCCACCCAATCAGCTCAGTAAAACTTCTATTGCCCTCCTAATGGGTAAATCTGACCTATGTTTAAGCCACACTCTACTGGTCTGCACTGAAGGCTCTGATGGGGTTGATATCCTTCCTCCTCAAGACTTTCTCCCTACATGATTACAAAACCATCCACTCTCATTTTATCCCCACATCCTGGTAGGCTCCTTTGCAGACTTCTTTCCTGTGCCCCTTCCTCCACCTGTTGTGTCATTCCAGCTCAGATGTCCTCCCATTCTAGACATTTGGTTATCACCTACAAACTGGTAACTTAAAATCCACATATCTGGTCCATATCTCTATCTCTGTTATCTCTAGCTTCATCATTTCTTTCTCTACCTCTCTCTCTCTCTTCTCTATCCCATTCAGTGCAACATCAAATGACAGTTCTCCCAGTGTCTTCTCCAATCTCACTGTCACCCTGCCTCCAGCACTCATGAATCACCCCTTCTCCTGTCGTCTTCCTCACAGGCAACAGCACTCAGTCAATCCAGCAATCAAGCCCCAGGCACTTTAACACTAGGTACCTGCACTCTACTAACCCCAGTTAGCAAAAGTGTGCATGTTTGGGTGATCTGCAACACATGCTTTTCCTCCAGTTAGATCAGTACATTCTAAAATACACTTTAAACTGTCTCTCTTCTCTATCCTTGCTGCTACTTTCAAAATTACTGTACTGGTTTCTTATGCAACTCTGTCTCATGCAAATTCCTTTCACTGGAATCCACAAATCATTCAGCAAATATAGACTGAGCATCTGCTGTGGGCCAGCCTCTTTGGTAGCTGGAAATTATGATAGAAAGAATGCAAAATGGTCTTTGCTCTTGGAAAATCTGGAGCGAATGCCTTTCCTCCTTCACCCCACCTAGAAACCTGATCTTACTTCAGCCTGAGTTCGGATGCCCTCACCTCAGAAGGACGTGATCACTCTCATCTGTGCTCATAGGGCTCCCTATATATACCTCTATTCTATCACTGGTCATGATTTTTACAATGATTTATTTAAACATCTCTTTCACTGGTCTGTGGGTTCCTCAAAGGCCGACAGTCTGTCTGGCTCACCACCTATTTTTATCTCCTGGCACAGAGCCTGGCACGTGATGGATCAGTTCTCAATGAGCTGTTATTACCTGTGCCCCCCATTCCTCCTAAATGCACTCTGATCAGCATTTCTTCATATTTGTGCTTGTCATGATCAATGGCCTATTTTACATTTTTTAAATCCTGGGGTCACATTCTCTGTCTTCATATTAATTCCTCTATCAGCAGCATGTGACAGAGCAAATCATCCCTCCTTCCTGAGACACGTTTTCACGTGGCTTTTGGTCCACCACTCTCTCAGTTCTCCATTGATCTCACTGGCCACTCCTTCTCAGCCTTCTCTGATGATTCCTCCATTCTCTCTGTCCTTTAAATGTCTGAGTGTCCCAGGTTTTCCTATCCTCATCTGCACATACTCTGTAAGTCTCACAGCTTTAAATATCACCCTTATGGTGAAGACACTGACCTTTACATCTCTAGCCTACAAATCAGCCAAAGCTATTCTCTCCAACAAGACATAAGCGCTGCAGGACCAACAAAGTCCCTTCTTATGT